AGCAGGGCTGGCTGGGGAATTCTGGGAGTTGAAGTCCACACATCTTAAAGTGGCCAAGGTTGAGAAACACATCAACAGGCAACTTACTTTAAAAATGTACCCCTCCCTAATAATTATATTTTAAGCAACCTATTAAGCATCTCACGCTGCTAGTCCTCACGTTCATCTTCCTTGTTCTTAAGGGACATTATATGAGCAAAATAGCTATGATGATTGAGGAAAGATGGATCCTGGATAAATTATGCCACTGAGATATAGATTTTTCTTCCATATATGAATTTTCTGCAAATATCGGCTGTTTTATAAAAACAATTGCTTCGATAAACTTGGGTAGAAGCCAAGATCTTTAACTAAGTGGTACCAAAGCCACTTTTTTCTAGTCAGGCGGGCACGCTTCCAGCTAAGCCGTGGCCTGCCCCCTCCCACCACAATATTTTCTGAGAAAGCTGCCATTCAAGAAAGCTTCTGCGTTTTAATGAAACTTGTAAATTAGAGAAGGTGCTACCAGATTCATCCTGATTCTTGGCTACCATAAACTAAAACAGCTCTCCTCTTACAAGTTAGAAGAAGAAACATCCTTTCTTGGTGTCGAAACAAAACACGTGATTCTCCAAAGGTGGGTAAAAAACAAACAGCTTCATCCAACCTCAAATAATCATTCCTGAGTTTCGAATTCAGCAGTGAAGGGAGAATTCAAGGAAGAAATAAAAATAATTAAGTTGGAAGGGGCCATGGAGATCATCTAGCACTCCCTTCAGTGACGTTTCCACAGCCACAGAAACGACAACCAGAAATAATGGAATCAAGCAGCAGCTTGGTTTTAAGGAAGAACTTCCTGATGGTAAGATCTGAACAAGAGCGGAAGAGTCTCCCTACGGAAATGGTGGATTCTCCATCTCTGGAGGGTTTTAAGAAGCTGGAGGGCGACCTCTTAATGGATGGTTAGACTGGTTTTCCCGCACGTTGCAGAGGGTTGGACTAGATGATCCTTGGGATCCTTTCCAACCCCACAATCCTTTGATTTCACATTCTGTGGGCAGGCAGGAAAACCACTTCAAGCATCCTGAGGAGATGGCTGTCCACTCTTTTCTGAAAACCCTCCAGAGATGGAAGCCCACAAACACAACTGTGAGTATTTACACATCAGGCCAACCTGGAGCCTCTTCACTGAGTGGCCATCACAATTGGGACACTGCTATCCCCCCTCCCTATGTAGATGGAGGGCACACCCTGCTAACAGGCCCCCAAGCGTCAGAGACCCTCCAATGCCCAGCCTGAATCCTGGGTCTCAGGTGAGCCTTCCTTCAGATGGCAGCTTCGTTCCACTGACTCAGCTGTTCGCAGGGCTTTTTGAACACCACCATTTTCCAAGGAGGGAGGGCTGACCATCTTTCCTTTCATCCTCTTAACTCTGCAAGGTGAGGCTGCAGCACAAACCGGCTGTTGAATTCTCCAGGTGAAAACGGACTGGCACATGGGCTTATTAGTCCACAGCCCCATCGCCTGGCAGCCTGGAATTTAATTACACGTGTACCCAATACTTGCAACCAGAGAAGAGTGTGTGTGTGTGGGGGGGGAATCATCCACATGGCGTGAGAATAAATGGCAAGGATCATGGGACCTGGCAGAAAATGGGCCATTTGGCGTGCAATTTGCACACCATCTAACGCGTAGCTGCTCGCGGAAGCACTACCGTACCACTCAGAAAGGAAAGTGCCCATTTTGCTGCGCTCGGCAAGGAAACACCACCCACGCCCAGGCTTGCCGATCAATACATCCCGCTGTAGGAACCGTGCGAGCAATGCAGCTTTTCTGAAAAGGCAGCAGCTATGGCATTTAGACTAATCCTGGCTTGGGGGGAGTAGCAGCGTCCAGTGGACTTCTGATTTATTTGTTCCAGCCCCCCAGATGATCAAGGCAGCGTGATCTCCTCCAGTTCTTTGCAACAATAGCCCTTTGGGGCAGGCTGGGGGGAGAGAGGGTGACGAGCCCAAAGTCAACCTGGGAGCTCCCATGGGGAAGGGCGACCACCAGAACCCAGGTCTCCCTATTCCTAGTTCAGCCCCTTCCCCATTACATCATTCTGGCCCTTGGGCTGAGAGGGAGGCACTGGCCCAAAGTCCTCCAGGAGCCTTCTCTGGCTGAGAGGGGCCAGAACCAGGCTCTGCCACTCCTAGCCCAGCCCCTTCCCCATCAACCCACCCTGGATTTCAGGAAGAGAAGCTCAGGAGTTCTGGTTCACATCCAGCCTTGCCCACCAAATCAGTGAAGATGCCTTCTACGTCCTAAACCAGTGTTGCTCAACCTCGCCCACTTGAAGATGTGTGGACTTCAACTCCCAGAATTCCCCCGCCCCCCCAGTTTGGCGCGGCAATCCTGGGGTGGGAGAGCTCCTTCAACCACAGGGGGCAGGGTGGGGCAAG